CGCGATCGCCGGCATGCGTAGGCTGTTCAGCTGATCGCTCGCAAAATCCTCCGAAGGCGAGGCGGTGCGTCGATCGGTGCGATCACGAAGCGGCACTTAACTCCCCGTCACTGGGCGAAGGATCCTTGGATCGTCACACGCATGGATCGCAAGCGGAACGACATCATCGACGTCATCGGCGTCACCGTCACCGTCATCGTCGTCGTCGTCGTCGTCGTCGTCGCCGTCGTCGTCGTCGCCGTCGTCGTCGTCGTCGTCGTCGTCGTCACCGGCGTCGTCGTCGTCGTCATCGTCATCGTCGTCGTCGTCGTCGTCGTCGTCGGCGTCGGCGTCGGCGTCTCGTGGTCGTGTCACGGCGCGCCGCGCGGCGACGGCATCGCAGCGGCGACGCGAGCAGGTGTCCCGTGCCGAGTAGTCCTCGTGCCGATGCTCGCGAGGATCCTTCTCGCGTCCTGTCCACCACCACCACCACCACCACACACGCGGGCTATCGATCTCGCGGATGCACGCACGCACGCACGCACGCACGACGCACGCACGCACGCACGCCGTGCGACCCGCGAGCGAGCGAGCGACGTAGCGCGCGCGTTTTCTCCTCGCGCTAAAGTGCGGAGAGCTCCTCCTCTCCTCCTCTTCGTCGGCTACGATCAGCGGAGGAACAGTCGAGCCGCGAGTCCGCGCGCTTGTCTCACACCGCGATCCATCCGCGATCGCGTGCGTCGAGCGTCATCGGGATGTTTAGTCGATATCGCGTCATACGCGAAGCAGCCTCGTGACGCCGCTGTGAGACTCCGCCGGGACGCCTATCGGACGCAGAAGATCCTGCTGCTTCCTCGTCCTCGCGACGATTCCGCCTCGCAGCTCGCTCGTGCGCTGCTCGAAGAAGGAACGACGACGACGACGTCGGCTGACCTCGTGGATCGTAAACACATTCGGATCGTAAACACACTACGGCCGACACACTCGCGATGATCCGCGACGGTCCGGTCGATCCGGCGCGCGTCCCTGTCTCTCTCTCTCTCTCTCTCTTTCTCAGCGCTCTGGATCACCGAAGTACGCAGCGCGGAGTAGCCTCACGTCCCGTTAACCCCCGAGATACCACCTGTGTCGGCACACTCGGGAACATGAAAACGGGCAGCCGCGTGGCCTCACCTCGGCGAACGCCAACGGAACTCAATGGAGCTCTGCGTGACTCTCAACGTGACACATTCCGCGAACATGACCGAGAGAGGCGCGCGCGCGCGCGCGCGCCTGCCTGACCTCGACTTTTAATCCGACGCGACGACGGGGCACTCTCGTCCTCTCTCTCTCTCTCTCTCTCTCTCTCTGTCTCTCTGTCTCTCTGTCTGTCTCTCTCCGTCTCTCTCTCTCTCTCTCTCTCTCTCTCTCTCTGCCTGTGTCGCGGACGAGCTCCTCAAGGCGAACCGGGAGAGAGAGCGCGTTCTCGCAGACCGCGCGCGCGAGGCACACGTAGAGAACGGAGCAGCGGCGACGCGACTACGGAACGGCGGCACATAGCAGTCCGCGGCGCACGGTGTCGGGCGAACGAGTGGCGGCCAGAGGAGCCGCCGCGTCGTCGGCGCCCCCCACCGCGCGGCACGCATCAAAGTAGCGGGGGAGAGCAGGAGAGAGCGCGAGAGAGCAGCGCGCGCGGTGAGGACGAGGACCGGGCGCGCGGGAGGGATGGAGCGCGGTCTTCGGAACCGCAGCGGCGGCAGCGGCGGAGGGTGCGGTGGATAGATGGACGTCAGGGGCGTGAGTGAAGGAGGGGCATCGATACCGGTCCCTCCACGCCGCGCGCGCGGGGCCCCTTTCCCCCTTCGCGCGCGCGTCCAGAGGAGCCCCTCCGCGGGCGCGCGGCGCGCGCTCCACGCGACTTTGCGAGTGAAACATTTCGCGGGTTTTGTGGACGGGCGCGAGAGGGGTCGAGGCGCGGAGGGGCCGGCAGGAGTGGAGAAGCGAGCGAAGGGCGAGGGGCAGAGGAGTCGAGGTGGAAGAGAGGGTTTGGGTGGGAAGACAACAGTATTCCCGTTAATTGAACGACTCGCGCGAGCGCGAGGGAAGCGCGGGGAGAGAGAGCGAGCGAGAGAGAGAGAGAGAGAGAGAGGGACAGAGAGCAAGCAAGGAGAAGAGCGCGTCGTGGGGGAGCAGAGAGAGAGGAGGATTACTTGCAGTAATTACTTATTTTTATTACGCTCCGCCTCGTGGTGTCTCGCGCTGCTCGCTCGTTGCTGCGACACGTCGGAAATCTTTTCCCGCGACCGCGATATTGCGGGATACGCGGCGGTGTGTTTAGGCGGCCTGGAGAGACCAGCTCCGAGCCCTTCCAACTTGAGCATCTTGGCGTTAAATTAAGAAGAAAGGACGAGAGCGAGACGCTCGCTCGCGCGTGCGCGCGCGAGAGAGAGAGAGAGAGTGCGCTATCGTCGACGATTTCACGTTGCTTTATTCCAGCGAGATCGAATAATGCGCGGCGATCGATTGATGCCGCTCGATTAATTCGAGTTGATACAATTTTCAGCGGCTGCCCCGAGTGAGAGAGAGAGAGAGAGAGAGAGAGAGAGAGAGAGAGAGAGAGGGGGAGAGAAGAGAGTAAAATTGAGCGATTCGAGATGCGGCGAGCCTTCGTAAAATTTCACGACGCCCAAACCGCCGCGCAGATCGACAGGACGCGAGGACGATCGATCGAAGGAGAGCAGGACTTCATTTTCCCGGAGTCGGACGCGCCGCACACGCGGTGTGCGACGGCGTTCCCTAATCGGGGCAACCGGATACTTGAGGCCACCCGACGGGTGAACGAACCGGTAAAGGACTGGATAAAATCGTCTCGGATCGGCGGCAAGTCGGTATGCGCATCGCCGTCAGTTTTTCGAGTGATTACGTAGCAACACGTCGAACCATTACGCGAGCCTGTACTCTTTAGCGTTTTTTCCTCCTTGTCCTTTTTCTTCCAGCGCGCGCTCGGCCGAGCGAGTGTCGGCTTACCGAGGCCGATTTACATACCTTAACACACACGCGATATGCGGCGGTTTTCTCCACGTTAACCTCGTTTTTTTTCTCCCTCCCCCTCGCATATCCCAGTCGGTTTTCCACTTGACGAATGCAACCTTGAGTGCGTTCGAAAGTTCGATAAACACTAGAACACGACGACAATCGACGACGACGACGACGACGACGACGATGACGACGACGACGACGACGACGACGACGATGCTATCGACGCAATCGCGACCTTGCACGCCGATACGAACAACAGGCCGACTTTGTCGCACGAACGAATACGTTAATTCGCCGTTCAACGGCGTAACAAGCGCCGCGCGCTCGTCTCGGCCGAGACGTAAATTCGACGCGACGCTTCTAGCGCGTGGAAAAGAAATCGTTTATTTTAGAATTAAATTCCAAGAGTGGAAATGGGTAAATAGTCCTTCCGAGTTTCGGCCGAGCGCTCTCGGTCTCTCTCCCTTTCTCTCTCCCTTTCCCCCCCTCTCTCTCTCGGTTTCTGTCTTTCTCGCTCGCTCTTGCTCTCTCTCTCTCTCTCTCTCTCTCTCTCTCTCTCTCTCTCTCTCTCTCTCCCTCTCTCTCTCTCTGTCGCTCTCTCGTGCCCGCGTTAGTACGCTTGGCGTTCACTACCACGATTGCCGGACCCAGAGTGCACTTGTCAAAACTTTTATCTCAGCTCGCATCTACCGGCGAGAGAAAAACACGGAACGGCGATGCCGGACAATGGCGAGTCCTCCGGAAGGTCCCGCCGGCGGAGGAGCGAGCGATGAGAACGAGAACGAGGACGAGACGGAGAAAGAGAGCGAGAGAGAGAGAGAGAGAGAAAGAGAGAGAGAGAGAGAGAGAGGGGGGGAGAAAAAAATAAGCCGACAGAGATTTCGGATAATTGCGGCGGATAGTTCGGAAAGGCGCCGACCGGTTGTACCACAGCACGCCTGTCAGGACGCATTAGGATATCTATCGCGGATCCTGCGGGTCCGCGGGGTCTCGTTAGCGGGTCTTAGGATTGTTCCTTTGGTAATCCAATAAGGATGAGATTCCGTACGGCGGCTGTTTTTCTAACCGCGTCCGAGAGCGATCGACTAACGACCATGGACGTAGGGAAGGAGGGAAAGAGAGCGAGAGAGAGCGAGAGAGAGAGAGAGAGAGTTGCGCCTTGAAACTCCGATAAATCGATCA